CACATAGATAGATATACACATAGATAGATAGATCACATAGATAGATATACACATAGATAGATATACACATAGATAGATATACACATAGATAGATATATACACATAGATAGATAGATACATAGATATAAGATAGATGATTATACATAGCTTAGATTAGAGATAGATAGATAGATTAGAGCATAGATAGATTAGATACATTAGATATATACATAGATATTATACATAGATAGTAATTAGACAGAGAGTAGATTAGATACATAGACATATTAGATAGATTAGAATAGATAGATAATAGATTAATACATACATACATAGATTAGATTACTAGATTAGATTAGATAGATTAGATACATAAGATAGATAGATACATAGATAGATTATAATAGATAGAGACATAGATTCGTGAGATTAGATATTAGATTATACATAGATGAGATTTAGATAGGATAGACATAGACATATTAGATAGATAGATATAGTACATAGATAGATTTAGATCATAGATAGATTAGATTAGATAGATAGATGAGATTAGATTAGATAGACATATTAGATAGATAGATATACATAGATATCATAGACAATAGATAGATAGATATAGATAAATAGATTAGATACATAGATAGATATATTAGATACATAGATAGATATATAGATACATAGATAGATTAGATACATAGATAGATTAGATTACATAGATAGATAGATATAGATTAGATAGATACATAGATAGATATAGATACATTAGATAGATTAGATACATAGGATAGGATTTAGATACATAGATAGATTAAATACATAGATAGATTAAACATAGATACATAGATAGATTAGATACATACATAGATAGATTCGATACATAGATAGATTAGATACATAGATAGATTAGATACATAGATAGATTAGATACATAGATAATATTGATATATATAGATTATACATAGATTAGATTAATAGATTAGATACATAGATTAGATACATAGATTAGATACATAGATTAGATACATAGATATATAGATAGATATAGATATAGATATATAAATAGATAGATTAGATACATAGATATATTAAGATACATAGATATATTAGATTATATTAGATTATAGATATTTAGATACATAATAGATTAGATATATTAGATACATAGATCATAATATATAGATTAGATATTATTAGATACATATATAGATAGATATATTAATACATAGATAGATTAGAATACATAGATATATTAGATACATAGATTATATTAGATACATAGATATATTAGATATATTAGATACATAGATATATTAGATACATAGATATATTAGATACATAGGATATTATTAGATACATAGATATATTAGATACATAGATAATACATAGATATAAATACATAGATATATTAGATACATAGATATTATTACATAGATAGATTAATACATAGATTATTAGATTACATAGATATATATTAGATACATAGATATATTAGATACATAGATATATACATAGATAGATTAGATACATATATAGATAGATATATACATAGATTAGATACATAGATATATATATATATATAGATAGATAGATAGATAATAGATGCATAGATAGATTAGATACATATATAGATAGATATATACATAGATTAGATACATAGATTATATAATATAATATAGATAGATAGATAGATTTAGATGCATAGATAGATAGATACATAGATAGATAGATAGATGTCTTCCGCGGATGATCTGTTCGGAACGAGATCGCACAGGAAAGGTAATCCTCAGGCCTCCGCCCCCCCCCCCCCTCTCAGCCTGTCCCAGTCACCCAAGAAAACTTGATGGAGCTCCACTATGTACCTCAGTGTCGCGTCGCCCTTACTGCTAATGAGGATAATTAGCACACAAGAATCATAAATAACGCGACAATTATCCTTCTACCATGTTATCCGTTTCGTACGTGTTGTTATTGGTGATCCTGAGCTTCGGTGGATTCTTTGCTACGGTCTTAGTGATTAAAGCGGCTCTGCGACTGTGGATCTGTACTCGGGTAAGTGTATCTTTGAAGCTTTCCATTTTTGATTTTAATTCATTGTAAAGCTTGGATTACGGTGTTTATAATGATGTATGTAATAAGCGTGTATTTCTACGGGATATTTAATTATTTCGACCGCATTACAGAGCAGGCGACAGGCACGTGGCGAGGAAATCCCTGCGCTGTATGACGAGAGGACGTCCCTGCTCTCGTCTGCCTCTCCCACCATCACCCTGGCCTCCGAGACAGACCCCAGGCGTCCTCGCTCCCCAGAGGACGCTCCCCGACGTGGCTCCTCCGCCTCGTACCAGACCTTCACCAGGAGCCAGGAGCAGACCGTCGTCGACGCCCTCTGCAGCGTCCAGGGGATCCCCCTCCCGATCAGCCCTCTCCCTCCGTCGCCTAAAAGCGAGGAGGACGATGACTCGAAGTGGAGTTTCTGCGACTCGGCGAACTCGGACACGGAAGTGGAGTTCTACTCTCATCCGGGATCGTACAAGGAGCTCTCCACGTCGTCGGTAGAGAGGAGTATGTGCTCCACGATGGAGTTGTCCTTGAAGTCCGCGCTGGATTCGTAGGTCTTTCTCTCCTTCCTTTTGTTGTTTTCTTGATTTTGTTGGTTCAATAAAGATTGTCTATGGTAAGAGGTATATCTTCCTTTTCCAGTTGGTCCGACAATGATTAGGTACATGCTGTAGCAGATGAAAACGATGACATGACATTATCTTTGAATGCACATCACTTATTCGACGAATATGTTGATTTTCTTTTATAGTTCTCTTATTAAAAAACTATTGTTAATTAACAATATTCATATAGTAAAGTATCTGTTTCTTCTTTACATAGCCCTGTCGATATTATAAAGACTACGAAACAGGTTTTATACGATATATGTACAGATCACTGTAAGTCTCTACCAAATAGATTCAATAAAACTATTAAAAAACGATGGACTTATTTTTCTGGATCTGTATGACAATTGTTATATCATTTTTGTTCTGCAAACCGCATTTCAGTCAATAGCACAGTGCGATGTAAATCTCTAGCGTGTTCAAACGATCATGAATATGCAAATCAGAAGCACGGGGCAGTAGTGATGAACCTGACTGTAATAGAATTAGCTGTTATTTAATTTGCGAGAGGTAAGATATGACAGATCAATCTATATTGCAAAAGAGTGAGAGAAAGAGAGATTGAGAGAGATATAAAGACAGTAGATATACAAAGGGAGACGAAAAGAGAGATCGACATACATAGGCAGACGAATAGATAGAAAGATAAATAAATAGACAGATAGAGCGACAAATGGATAGACAGACAGAAAGTCAAATAAATAGACAGATAGAAAGACAAATAAATAGATAGAAAGACAAATAAATAGGTAGACAGAAAGACAAATAAATAGATAGAAAGACAAATAAATAGGTAGATAGAAAGACAAATAAATAGATAGAAAAAACAATAAATAGGTAGATAGAAAGACAAATAAATAGATAGAAAGACAAATAGATAGAAAGACAAATTAATAGATAGACAGAAATAAATAGATAGAAAGACAAATTAATAGATAGACAGACAAATAAATAGATAGAAAGACAAATGAATAGAGAGATAGAACAGACACACAAATAAATAGATAAACCAGACAGACAGATAAAAGGCTGGACGCAAAAACGTGAGAGAAAGAGAGAGAGAGAGAAAGAGAGAGAGAGATATAGAGGTACATAGATATAGAGATAGATAAAGAGATAGATACACAGAGAGAGAGACAGAGACAGAGAGAGAGAGAGAGATAGACAGATAGATAGATAGATAGATAGATAGATAGAGAGAGAGAGGAAGAGAGAAGAGAGAGA